ATTTTTTCAAAATTACTCCTAAAAAAATCAATTAACTCCTTTATAGTATCACACCTATTCACTTTGGATTTTGAAATTTAATTTCTTGCAATTTTGATCCAAATCAACCTCAAATTTTGATATTTCTTCCATTAAACTCTTGATTGCATTAATTGATGAACTCAAAGTTTAATCAGGTCTCCAAAATTATTAATTCTTTTAGTTTTTGATCAATTTGACTTTCAAATTTATAATTCAGTCCTTATTAGTTCTCAAACTTTCAATTTGTGTTGTCTTAACTCAATTTTTAAATTATTATTTTTTATTTTTCAAAATAAAAAAATGGAAAACAAATCAAGAAAAATATAATAAAAAATAAAAATAAAAAAATGAGAAACAAATCTCATATAAAAATCAAATTCCAAGAGGTAAAATTGAAAATGAATTAAATCTAATCTAATACAATCAAAATAATAAAAGTAAAATATGATAAAATTAATAAATGACCGCACTTTTCTAAATTTTTACAAGGACAACATGTTTTTCAAGGTTGAAGAGAAACATAAAAATGGAAGAAGAAAAAATGTTGTTGGAACTTCACCGTGTAAGAGTTGGCTACGTGCAAGTTATCACCATAAAAGAAGTATCGAGATACTTTAAATATATTGCTCAAAAAGTATAGACATTTCTAACCTGCTAATGCGTGCAGCAACTTTTTATTTAAAATTATATTATATCTTAATAAAAAAACTTAAATGATCCTTCATTAACTTGTAAATTACCTAAAAAAATTTATAAAATAATAAAAACACTAATGAGCTTAACTTTAAAAAAGTCTAATTTTAACGGTTAATCAAATATTTTACTATGCAATTTTTTTGAAATACTTGAAAAGCCCTACACTCTTTAGTTCAATTAATTTACCTTTTAATGGTAGTTTAGTAATTTTAATACGCAACTAAAAAGTAAAAAGTTTAGATACTCCTATCATCTTTGAATTAACATTTTAATCCCATGAAAAAATTATAAATTTTGTGTTGTTAATAGTAAAATAATAATTTAATTGTATGAATCCACAATAGAATGAGAAAAAGCCCACATGAAAAGTTTGATTCCTTTTTATTTATTTTTTTTAATTTTAATTTAATACACAAAGGTCAAAGGCACATCATCACGAGCATGTTAAATGTGAGCACAATAATTTTTTTTTTTATTAATGTGGGTGTTCGGGCCAGCTTGCGCGCACCACGACTAATTCCACGGGCTCTGAAGTTAACGACCATATAAGCTTCCAGTGGTCATTATACGAGCAACCAAAAATTCAAACCTGAGACCAAAGAGAACAAACCCCTTAATCTTAAATCTTTACTACCCGGCGACAATAATTATTTAGCCTTTAGAAGTCACTGGAGAAACATAAAAATGGAAGAAGAAAAAATATTGTTGGAACTTCACCGTGTAAGGGTTGGCTACGTGCAAGTATCGAGATACTTTAAATATATTGCTCAAAAAGTATAGACATTTCTAACCTGCTAATGCGTGCAGCAACTTTTTATTTAAAATTATATTATATCTTAATAAAAAAACTTAAATGATCCTTCATTAACTTGTAAATTACCTAAAAAAATTTATAAAATAATAAAAACACTAATGAGCTTAACTTTAAAAAAATCTAATTTTAACGGTTAATCAAATATTTTACTATGCAATTTTTTTGAAATACTTGAAAAGCCCTACACTCTTTAGTTCAATTAATTTACCTTTTAATGGTAGTTTAGTAATTTTAATACGCAACTAAAAAGTAAAAAGTTTAGATACTCCTATCATCTTTGAATTAACATTTTAATCCCATGAAAAAATTATAAATTTTGTGTTGTTAATAGTAAAATAATAATTTAATTGTATGAATCCACAATAGAATGAGAAAAAGCCCACATGAAAAGTTTGATTCCTTTTTAGTTTTTTTTTTAATTTTAATTTAATACACAAAGGTCAAAGGCACATCATCACAAGCATGTTAAATGTGAGCACAATAATTTTATTTTTTTTTATTAATGTAGGTGTTTGGGCCAGCTTGCGCGCACCACGACTAATTCCACGGGCCCTGAAGTTAATGACCATATAAGTCTCTAGTGATCATCATATAAGCAATCAAAAATTTGAATACGAGACCACAGAAAAAACAAACCCCTTAATATTAAATCTTTACTACTCGGCGACAATAATTATTTAGAAGTCACTCAAATTTGAAATTTTGAGGGGGCTGTGGTGCACGAGCTTCGGCCTTCGAGGTAGAATTTAATTCAAATAAAGGGAGTGTGTGTTGTGGCTGTGTACCCTTCAAATTTGAAAATTTAAGGGTGTATTTAAGTATAATATTGTGATTATAGTTATTTTTAAAATATATTAAAAAAATATTATTTTTATTTTTAAAATCAATACATCTTTAAAAAAATATTAATTTAAAAAAATAAAAAAAAATTAATTTTTTTTAAAATTATTTTTAAAATATAAAAACAAATATATCTTTAATTCTGCTCGCATTTGGTTGCCTTGCCTGCCTCACCCATTCCTAGGTCAATTCACATGTTCTCACGCTGTAAAGACTGCAGCGCCAAGCTCATTTAATGTAATTTCAGGTATTATATGTTTTCTTAAAAAATATTTTTTATTTTTTAAATTTTATTTTTAACATTATTATATTAAAATAATCTAAAATAATAAAAAAATAAAATAAAAATACTTTTTAAATATAAAAACAAACACTTACAGGGTTGTTCAAAAGCACGAGTATTTTTCATTAAAAAACTTTAAGGTAGTGTTTAGTCAGTTTTCTAAAATATAAAGGATAGAGATAGTAGAAATATAAATGTATCTAATTGAAAAGATAAAAATAAAAATATAAAAATAAATTTATTTTTAAATAATTTTAGAGTAAATTTTTATATTTTTAAAATAAAACTATAGAGGGAACATATCTCCATGGATAGCATTTATTATTATTTCTTTTAAAAATATTATAATAGAAAACATTTAATTTTAAAATTAATCAATATTAAAAAAATTCATTTAAAAATTATCAGAGTTATGCTACTACCTTTGTTTGGATGACTATTCTTATCTTTAAAAAAAATCATATATTTCAGTAAAGGAAAGTATTGGTAGAAAATATAAATAAAGGATAAAATTATAATTTTAATATCACAACTTTTTACAAAATTAACTTTCCTAAAATTTTCATTAGTCTAGGTTTTATTTTTTCCTTCTATTTTTTTCATATACAATGTAAAGGTTAAAGTGTTAACATTTAAGTTTTTTATTTATTATATTTTATCTTTATTATTTTAATTATTATTTAATTTATTTAAAATTATTCATGAAATTATTTTTTCAAATTTTATCCTTCAATATTTTTATCTCTAAGATTTTATTCTCATTCTTTTAATAAATTTAAAAAAATATTAATAAATTATTTTTTAATTTATTTTCCATGACTTATTTAAATACTAGAAAATATTTTTTAAATTATTTTTATTATATTATTAAATATAAAAAATAATTTATTATCAAGAAATCCAATTTCAAAAAAATCCATTCTCCTAAAAAAATTATTTTCCACCGAGCACAAATAGTATTTTGGTTTTGATCGGCTACTTTATTAACTATTGGTTCAAGAGTCAAGACGCAGCACATCTGCATGTATTGTTTGTCCTTTTATTTACAAATTCAGACATTTTTGGAAAGGAGACCGCAGAATCAGAAGTGTTTGACCAGTCTAAGGAAAATGAAGCCAAGCCCCTTCCACGAGCCCAAGAACATGTAGATTCCTCTTCAATTGTATACTAGTTAACTTGGTCCTTCGGTGGTGGTCTTCGAGGTGTGTTTTCATTAGCTCTCCCTCTAGTCCTCTAGCAGCTCATACACGTGAAGCCAGTAGTGGGGGCGGTCAGTTGGTCTGCAAAAAGATTAAACTAAAGGCATGCTAGCTCGATAAAAGTTAGCCAAGGAGATACATTGCTCTTGTGGTCCTTCAAGTTTCAGATTTCTGTCATATTAACCCCTCTGCATCACAATTTGGGTGTGACCATAAGTCCCTGAAAAAAAAAACATTAATCTTATGTCCTTTATATAAAGAACATTTTTAAATTTAGTGTCAAAATTATTAAAATTTAAGTTTTTTCTTCCCTACAAAAAAATTTCTAGTCTTGGCCCCTTCTAAAAACATTTCCTGGCTCAACCCTAATGAAATGTTATATATGCTCTCATTAACTTCCTTTACAAGGAATATTCTAAATTTTCTTGGTTAAAATAAGTGTCTTTGAGGTTTTTCATGTATATATATGCATGTGCCTGCACACATACATAAAAAATATAATAATTTTTTATTACAAATATTATCAGTTTATTTATACATGCATTTATTTGTCTAGATAAAAATTGAAAGGCTTTTTTTGTACCCAAAATTGTGCTGAAGGATTGAGAAATGATAGGATTTGAAAATGAGGGACTGGACATATAATTTACCTAGCTATTTTTAAAATTTATTTGTTTTTGTGTTTTAAAACAATTTAAAATATATATTTTATTTTAAGTTATTTTTTAATATTTTTAAATTGATATGCTGATATTAAAAGTAGATTTTAAAAAATAAAATATTATTATAAACAACAAAAAAAAACTTTAAAAGACAATTTTATTGCAATATCAATTTGTATTCGTGCGTGCTACTAATAATCTATCTCTCCCATGTCTTCTTCTATCATATTATTGACAATGCCTGACACACCTCCATTATAAATTGTTTTTTTCGCATGCGACTACACTACACCACAACACAAGTCTTGGCGGATATATTGGAGCTGTACTCTTACATTCACAGACTTATAATCAATCTCTAGCTATCTCTCTCCCTCTCTCTTATTGATTTCACTTCCTTACAGTTATAATAATTGTGGAAGAAATCAATGTCCTTAGAATATTATTACCATGCACCTATATCTAGCACCCTCCCCACATCCCTTTCTAGGCACTTCTTAGCTTCTAGTGTGATGTGAAGAGTTTTTTATATCTTTCTAGCCTCCTCTCAATATGGGAAAGAATGGTGGTACCTCATGGTTGAACATCGTGAAAAGAGCATTCAGGTCTCCAAGTAAAGAGAATGGGAAAAAGAGTAGCAGAAGGAGAGAAGAACAAGACCAGGAAGAGGAAGAAAAGGTAATGATACTATTATCATGAACAATGAGTAGCTTTAATCTTTATGTGTATAACAAAGTATTGATTTCTTGGTGCATGGATTTCTGGGTTTAATTTTCTCAGAAAAGAGAGAAAAGAAGATGGCTTTTTAGAAAGACGTCCAGCACTAACCATGTCCCAGTTCAACGATGTGAAGAAAATATTGCAATAACGAACACAACAAGTACTACCACAGCACCCTTGAGTCCTGCTTTGGATGCTGAGAAAAAACTTGCAGTGGCAGGGGGGGGGAG